CTAGCGGGAGGCTTCTGCTATGTGTCAAAACCCACCGCTTGGTAATCTTCCAAATTTACTTCCTGTTGGACTTCAGTAGTAGATGCTGTAGGGTCCCTCCCAGTCCCTTTACCAGGCAGCGCACCCATCCCCAGGCACTGGGAGTTGGCCACTGATGGCTCACGGTTGCCTGCATCTGGGGAACATTGTGCCCAGCCCCTTTGGGTAGGCTAAGCCACACCTGACCCCCAGGCATCACGCAGCCAATGGCTGGCTGACATGGAGGCATAAAAGATCAGCTTCTCTGCTTCAGTGAGGGACCGGTACGATTCGTGCTCCTGAGGTTCCCCGTGGAATCAGGTGGAAGCCAATTCTTCCTCTAACTTTTCCCCACCGTTCACTGCTCGCCTCTCCCTTCTCCTGAGATCATCCGCCTAATCAATCGCTTGGACAAGAATTCCCCAACACGAGTTCTGCTCTCAGAGAACCCACTTAAGACAACTGAGGTTTCTCTCAGACGCTGAGAACAGTGTATGGTTTGTTCTTTTTCCTTCTTGTCCTTCCCCAAATAGATAACTGTACATTTTTTTTATTGCTAAAATGTTTGTTCAAATTTAAATGACACATATTATTTAGCACAAATTTTCAAAGCACATAGAATGGCACCTAGATAATGTAGGATTAGACTTTACTTAATGTGTCTTGTTGGCAAAACTTCATTCTTTGCTAAGACACCAGCCCTGGTGGGGCATCCGCCGCGATGCTTTTCTATTTCTACCAACAGTTTCTCTATCGAGTCCTGAACCCAAGGCCGAGTCAGGTGAGAAGAAAGGAGGACACGAGGAACGACAGCTCTGTCAGTGACACTGAGTGTGAAAACTCCACTTAGCTCAGCGATTCTGGGAATTCGCGGAAAGGACACAGGCTTCGGAACCATGCAGACGGAGTTGGATCTGCTCCTGTCACTAAACCCCTGGGTGGCCTTGGCCAAGGCACTCATTCTTGCTGAAACAACCCGATTGATCTTAGACCGGATAGAAGAGGTGTACGGAGCACCGAGCAGTGACCGGCCTCGAGAAGGCACTTGAACGCAAGCATTTTTGTCTATTCTGTTTGCCGCTCTGTACCTACTACCTTGCTACACCATAAACACTCAAATATTTGTTAAATGAATGAAGTATTTTCTACCAGAAATTTTAAAGTTCGTATTAATTTTTATGAACTAAAAAAACCCAACACCACAATGATTGCAGGATATTATGACTTGTAAGATATACCACAGATTAAATATTTTTAATGATCACATTAAATGTACGCAGTGATTGAAAAACATATCCTGATTTTTAAGAAACATTAAAATGTCAGGGAAAAATAAAGAGCTTTAGAATTGAGAGCACGTGCTATATTAACATTGTAAGCCTTTTAATTATTTCCATTTGTAGCAAATATTTTCCCCAATTTGTTCACTCCTTAATTTCATGGTTTGCTTTTGACACCAGAAATATTAAGTTATCATGTTGCTGATTAATCATTTTATGGAGGTTCTTTCTTTCCTTACTTTTGGACTCCGCCTACCCACCCATAGATAAGGTAATTTTGTTTTAGTTTATGGTTTCGTTTGGGAATTTAACTTTTCAGTCCTCCTGGAACTTATGCTATAAGGTATGGCTTAAAATTAATTTTCTCAAAATAGTTTATTTCTTCAAAACCAATTTAAATAAAATACCCGTTGTCCATTTATTTAGGATGTTTTCTTATCGGTCATTAGTTGTTACATGGCCTTCAGCCACCTATTGTCTACGTCATGTGTCTACCTCGATTTGCTCACCCTGTTTTTCATCATCGTACACTCACCACCTGACATTATATTGTCTATATACTTGTTATTTATGTTATTGTCCCTCTTCTCCATTTGACTGTAAGCTCGGGGACACAGAGACCCTTGTCTGGTTCATGCTACATTTCCAGACCTACAACATCATAGGGGGTCATATGAGGTGACTGACAACTATTTGGGAGGATGAAGTAAAATTTATGCAAGCAGTATAAACATTTACTGTGATAAGCGTTGAAGAAATAAAATATGCTGATGACCTGGGCATTCCTTGGAGGAGCTTATTGAGATAGACAGAAAAGTCCTCCAAGGAGGTGACATTTGAGCTGAGATCTGAAGAACTAGAATTAACCAGCAGTTTGACAGCTAGAGAGGAAGGCACAGGCCTGCAGGAGGGCTTAGTGTTTTAAAGGAACAGAAGGGAGGCCATTATGAGCAGAGGCGGGGAAAAAGTGAGTTGAAAAGTCGGCAACAATGTCTACGGCCATGCTAACCAGAACGAGCCCGATCCCGTCTGATCTCGGAAGCTGAGCAGGGTCAGGCCTGGTTAGTACTTGGATGGGAGACCACCTAGGAAGACCAGGTGCTGTGTAGGCGTTAAAAAAAAAAACAAAAACAAAAAAAAAGGGATTGTAAGCTGACAAGGTCCTTGCAATCTGTGAGGTCAACCAAGGGTTGCCCCCCCTAAAAAAAAAAAAAAAAGTCAGCAACGCTGAGGTCCTTCCAGGTTCTGATGAAGAATGTGTGTCTTGTTCTAAGAGCAGGGGAAGCCGTTAAAGCGTCTGAGCGGAGGTGGGACAGAGGCTGGCGCTGGCCGTGGGGGTGAAAGCGGACCGCAGGGGGAAGGCAGGGCAGGAAGTCAAGCGTTTTACGGCATCCAGGTAAGGAAAGGCAATGGTTTGGAGTGGGCTGGGAGAGTGGAGATGGAGAGGAGCAGATTGCTTTGAGAGATCTTTGGACATAAAAAGACTGGATCTGGTGGTGGTCTTTAAGGCGGGCATGAAGACACGGGAGAAGCCAAAGGTGACTGCTGAGTTTCCTGGCTTGAGTCACTGGCCAAATAGCACCGCTACTGACTGAGATGAGGGGGTGCGGGGAGGGGTGGTTTGGGAGGAAACAGCAAGAACTCCGTTTGGGGGCTCCCTGTTAGGCTGGAGATGACCACTGAATTTCAAATAGAGAGGAGAAGTCGGGTAATTGGCTCCATGAGTCTGGAGTCCAGGGAGACATCTGGGCCATGAACAGAGTTGGAAGTTGTCAGCATACGGACAGCACTGAAAGGCAGGAGACTAAGCGAGATCGTCTAGACAGAATACAGATAGTAGGGAGTCCGTAGCACTTTAGGAATAAATTTAAACACAGTAAGGACGTGGCGAGCCGTCCACTTTCCATCAGTGTTA